TGAGTTACATATCTTTACACGCGAGTTACACCATTCATGTTACTGGGACAAAAAAAGAAGTCACTGTACACGCGTACTGTTCACGCGAATTTTTTTTTTTAAATTGCCCAAAGCTACGTCGTTTTGGGAGTGGGAGCATGATGCTCATGGTGGGACGGTCGTATGGTATACGAACTGGTTATATCTTTGGATGTAGTTTGTACGCAGTATAAATCAAATATGTATGCACTACGTACAATGTACGGATGGACTTTATCAATTGGGCTTTCAATATCAACTTATTATTGGGCTCTCTCCAGAGGTGGAACCAGTGGCGGATGTTGCAACCCAAAATTGGGTGTTCAAAAAATTTCTTGTTAAAATATTGCAACATAATATTTTTTTATCTTACAATTGAAGAAATGTAAGTTTTTCAACAATAAAAAACTAGCAAAAAGGGTTAAGGGTAACAAACATTGTATAAAAATACACTATATATATTATTATATCAATTCTATACATGTATTTTTACATTTTATTTTCAAAATTTTGGGTGTTCCCCTGAACACCCTTGAACAAAGCACGTCCGCCACTGGGTGGAACCAAAACAAAAAGTAAGGGGAGACTAAAAGTATTATAAAATGACAAAATATAAATTGTTATTAAAGTTTACATAATATAAGAAGAAGAAACAATTGGAGACAATTGTGTAAGGGCGTGTGTGCATATGCTCAAACCAAGGAGGTAGAAACTTGATAGCTTCTTTTTATCTTTACCATATGCTTTCTTAGGATATACATGTCTCATCGATCTACACAGACATCTTGTTAAATATTCTCTCAGAACTTGGTCTCTAATACAAGAATTGTCATCTTTGATTGATTGGTTTACGGAATCCAGAATTAGAGACAACATCATTTGGATCAAATTCGACACGATTATGTTTTTTCTTATTACTTTCTTCGTCATCCCATCTAGAAGAGCTAACGCCTCGTGTTACAAATTGTAAAATAGATATATCACACGAGTAACCTAACGAGTAAAAAATGTTTTCAACTCTAAATTCTTAAAGAGTTAAAACAATTAATCAATTAAAATTTAAAGCAATAAATAACAATGAAAGTAATTAATAAAAAAATTGCACAAACAATTTCAACTCTATATCAATTCAAGCAATTAAAGTATATAATCAATAAAAGTGTACAAGAATTTAAACTGTAAAGTGTAAAGCAATTAATAAATTCACTTTTAAAGTAAATAAGTAATTGAAGCAAATAAGAAATTAAACTAATTGTTCAAAACGCCAAGACATTAAACTAATTTAAAAAGATTTCAATTTTAAAAATAATTACCAGTGGCAAAGTAGGCAAATGGCTTCGCCGCTAGTCCAATACGGAGTTCAGACTTCAGGGTGTGGACCGGAGAAACAAGGTAGATGCTAAACTAGACGGCCGGCGATGACTCTGCGGGACCGAGACGGACTGACGGTGACTTAAGACAAGGGAGGGACTGCGGCTTGTGGGAGTATCACTTCAGTTTTGTTTGCCCAAAAAAAAGGATGACACCCTATCCCTGAGGGCCCTCCAAGACCGACCGGATAGCACGATGGGAGGATGTAAATTGGACTATAATCACAATCTGACAGATAGAGAGTGGGGCTCTGTCCCCGGTACTTGCAGAAGTACTATGCATTTTTCAGCATAGTAACCCCTCATCGCAGTTGCCGGGATTCGAACCCGAGACCTAACCCTTGTGGCACTCCCTCGCTACCAGTTGAGCTACGCCCACCGGTTCAGCTTTGTTTGCAAACACTACTCCCAAGTGCTTTTTATTTTTTAAAAGTGATTTAGGAAAAAGTAATTAATAGCAAAAGTTGGTAGTGTTTGAGAAAAAAATTATTTTGAAAATTAAAAGTTAGTAGTGTTTGGTAAAATAAGTGATTTTTGTGTAATAGAAAAAGTAAAAAGCAGATTCTAGCTTTTAACTTTTAAGTATTAATTTATGTAGAAGTTGCTACTTGAAAACACTCTTTTTAATTTTTTTTAAGCCAAAAGCTGGAAAGCGCTTTTTTCAGTGTTTGCAAACAAAGCCGAAGGAACGATGAAGAGCCGGCAGAGGGGATTGAAAACTGGGAAGGCGAAAGGGCAAACGTGTATATCAGATTCGGCCAAAACGACGACGTTGATTTTTTACTGTGCACTTAACCAAACGACGTCATTTGGCGGATTCAATTAATTAAAAGAAAAACCCTGCAGTTCGTTGACTCTCTGGTTTGCTGCATCTCGGCACCGCAGGCCTCCGTCTCTATAAAGAAGATGAAGCTCATGGGGGCGGCAGGATAAATACCTAATCCTAGTACTAGAAAAACTCCGGCGAAGGAGTGGCGGCCGCACCGGCTCGCTCCCCAGTCCCCCTGATTCCGCCCCTGACTCTCTCCGTTAAAGGACTACAGTATCTAGAGTTTGTAGGTAGAATAGAATTAGCGCATAAACCTAACAGATAAGTCATCCTAATTAGTACTCCATCAGATATGTACGGACAGAACCTTCCATATAAGGGGTGAATTGCATTTTTTAAATTAGTTCGAAAGCCTATTTGACCCTTTTGTCTTTTTAATTATAAAAAAAGCACTATTGGAGATGTAAGGAAAAAGTGATTGGTAGTAAAAGTTTATAGTGTTTGAGAAAAAAGTGATTTTGAAAAGTAAAAGTTGGTAGTGTTTGGTAAAATAAGTGTTTTTTGTGTAATAGAAAAGAGAAAAGCACTTTTCACACGCAAGTCGAGAAAAAGTAAAAATTAGTAGTGTTTGATAAATAAGTTCTTTTTAAAGTCAAAAGCTGAGAAATGATTTTTTTAAAGTTGTTGCAAACATTCCCTACATATTATAAATTGTGTTACGAGCAAGTTCAATTTTGTTTGTCATCAGTGCATATGAGGGTCGACTAACTAGTTACTCCGTAGTAAATACGGAGTACATACTACGTATGACGGAATGACATGTTTTGGTCACAGTGTCACACTAAAGATATTTTCCATTATCACCAAAAAATAAAAGATATTTTCCATTTTTCCACTCCAAGGAACTAATTACATGATTTATAAAAATTTTGTATCTACCAAATGAAAAATGTCAAAATTGAGCGATTGTGCCATAAAAATTGCCAAAAAGAAATACCCCGTCTAAGGAAGTTATTTTAATTAAAGTTGGAATTTCAATATAAATAAAAACAAAAGCTCAATTAAAAATATCCTAGTATAATTTTCTTTTTGGGAACGGAAAATATTATTAGTTTCAGGATCGTTATATCAATCAAAGGAAAATCAAAACTGACACCAACTAACCTCCAAAAACTACAACTGTAAACCCTATGATGATCCTTAGAAACGATCACCCCTGAAAGAGCAACACGAATCGCTAATCATGTAGCAGGCTTGACACAGTTGCCCCTGATTCTATAGATCCATATACTCCCAACTACATAAAAACAGGCAAAGCTTCGAAACAGAATTACAACCCTAACAACATAAACGTTAACAAAAATCCAAATGACAAAAAAACAATAACTGAAAAGGATAATTTTCACACACCCTAGCACTTCGTTCAGCCCATGGCGGTGGTTTGGGAGGAGGTCGTACCATCTGTACCACTCTAATTGAATCTCCATTGTTGATCAAAGTCTGACCCACACGAATCCCAACGGGCTCCTCGTTAAAGACTAGTTCTTCCTCTTGATTCCCAATAGTCATCTCCTGCTTATACTTGTTTGCAATATCTTCCATCTCCCTATTAGCCACAGTTCGTTCGAGGTACAGAAGAGTCCGTACAACAAGCCAAAGTAGCGACCGAAAACAACGCTCTGCTTTCTAATCCACCAAGCCGAAATCAAGTGCCCTGCGAAGAAGATAATATCACCTGCACAAAGCCCGACCGAAGGACCGTCAAGACCGACGTGCCCTACTGCTAGGAAAAATCGGCCGTCACAGAAACGGCGCACCTCCATGCTCCAACCCTAATCACCTAGGGAGACGACCACGGTTTTTTTTTTTTGAAACTATTGCTTGGCAACTTACATAGCAAGTTAGCAACTCCTTATTAACTAAGCAAATTCTATATTTTCTTATATATCCTAGTACAAATTAAACTACATATTTCACTTTACTTGATTTATCTCATATATATTAATCTTTTTACATTTACCACCATGTTTATCTTATACCATATTTGATAAAGTATTTATATAGTTTAAATTGATTCATACTTGAATATTTATTGAACCACATTATTTCGCCTTTTTCGTTTTTCTTTTCTTTTTAATGCATGTGCATAAATATTTAGTCCACTTTCTTAATATATGCATGCATCTTCCTTATATATCCTAAACATTTATTTCTCGTTGTTTCTTCCGTACCAAAGAAAAAAGTATTCCCCACTCCGCTCCTTATTTCTTTTGCTCTCAAAAGGGTAATTCTTTTATTAACTAGGTCATTCATTGTGCAAAATGTTGTCGGTGCACACTTTTTTACACATATAATGTACACCCTAGTTATCTGTTTACACAAACAATTCGTTCAAAATCTATCTTGTAGACAGACACCATAAACTATGTGTGCACATCAAACATAGTTTATCATTGATTGTATTGCGCTAGAGCGTATTTTGTAGCCATTATTACACCGTGTAATGTATTCGTTGCATTGCCTTTTCCGAGAAAGTGAAAATAAATCATTAAAAGGTTTATGCAAAATTGATAATGATATAATTGACTTTTGGTTTGTTGAACATGTTATTGTTATTTTTTTGAAAGGGAACCTGTAATTATTCAAGTGCATTATTTGCTAAAATTTAATTACTCATAATTATATTTGAAAATGACGGGTAAATCGTACCATCGTAGTTTTCATTGTTCTATTAAATAAAAACAACCACTTGACTCATTTTTAGTCTAAGCTAAAGCAGTGCACTAGTCTAATTGTAGCTAATGAAAACTGCTTATCTTACATTCTTACTCAACAATTCAACATCCCAAAAGAAGTCTACAAAATTTGTAGCAAAATTCGCAAGTGTTGAGACAGATAAATATAGACCAAACATTAGAATACAAACCAAACCACCATATGGGATTACTTGTCCTTCTCAAAAGAAATTAGAGTCTGAATGGAACTCAAATCTAAAAACACCATCTCTCTCTTGTAAAATAAGTGAGCTACTGTTAAATTAAGGTTGACACATGACACATTCTCCTTCATTAAAAAGTGAAGGAGAGGGGAATTCAGAGTTTTCCTTTTCAGTTCTTGTTCACCAAATCAGCCTTAGTTTTGCCAAAGGATGTTGTATGTATACATGCATCTTGACCCATTTGATAGGATAAAGAACAAATATATGTAAGACATATATAAAAGATGAGGTGATCTTCCACCTACACCCTATCGAAATGTTTTGAAAACAACCACGCACTAAACCAAAAAAAACTCGAATCAACAATCCACAGATGTGTCTGGTTGTGACTGGTTATCAGTTGTTTGATCTTTGGTCACCTGACTGGCCTGCTTCTGTTGTTCAACATACCTGTTAATTTTCTCAAGCAACTGGGCAGCCTTTCGGCGCCCTCTCTCCGTTCCGTTCTGTGCTAAATCAAGCAAAGGTTCCATAACACCCAGTTCCTGAGCTATGACCACATTCTGGTCAGCCGAGCATAAGTGACCCAAGACCGCAGCAGCATTCTCTTTGTTTCGAGGGGACCCACTTGCTACGAAGGATACTAAGACCGGCATAGCTTTCGCGGTCCCAATGGCTAACTTCCCTTCGGGATGACTAGCTAATATAGCGAGTATGGCTAACGCCTCATCTACCATACTCCCTTGTGGTTCGGTCAACAATTGCATTAATATGGCCACCACCCCTGCTCGAACTGCCTTCCCTTTGTTGCCTTGATATATGCACAGGTTGAAGAGCGCAGTGGCGGCATCTTTCTTCCCTCTTTGGCTACCCTCATTTAACAAAGCCACTAGAGGAGGAATAGCTCCCGAAGCACCAATTATGATCTTATTTTCATCCACAACAGAGAGACTAAATAAAGTGGCTGCCGCATTTTCTCTTGCCTCCATGCCTGCTTTCTTGAGGACATAGACGATGCCAGGGACCGCATTTGCACATATAATCGCTCCTTTGTTGTCTTCGCATATGGAGAGGTTAAGTAAGGCTGTGACTGCATGCTCTTGGGTTCGGGAATCGGGTTTGGATAAAAGGTTGACCAACAATGGTATAGCCCCGGCTTCTGCTATCGCTATACGGTTGTCAGCGTTTCGTTTGGCAAGGAGACGGATCTCGCCAGCGGCTGTCCGTTGGTCTTCCGGGTTGCCTGATCTGAGTTTGGATATCAGAGTTCCTATCTTGCAGTCTTCAACGGGCGAGGAGGAGGATTTATTTTGGCGGGACCGGGATGTGCCAGGTCGTTTAGGCGGTTCAATCCCGTTTGACTCGCACCATTGTGTTATAAGACTGCGTAAGACGTAGTTGGGGGTGAGGATGTTGTGAGTTAGGGGCTGTTGTGTCTTTGGGCAGCTGGTGTGTCCTGCTTCTATCCATTTCTCAATGCATGAACGTTCATAGGTCTACAATTCAAGAAAATATAACCAGTTAGAAGTAACAAGGAAACTACGGTTGAACCAATACTGATTTGGTCTCCGAAGAGAAAACAGTCTGTTTTAATGGGGAACATAATGAAGCAAGTCCAAATAACCAAAAACATCAAATTTATAGATAGAAGGAAAAGGTGCAAATACGTAGTGTTTCTTTAACATGGACTCAAATATACCCTTAACAGACATAATGCTTGCCTACAAGTTCAGATTGACTCTCAAATTCTAAGACAGCTTAAAGATCACAAAAAATACACAATTTCCTATGTTGTGTACAAAAACGTTATTGATGCATAAAATGTTGAGTGAATGAAAACACTTCAATACAAAAATCTTATATTTGTGTTATGTACTTTTTTACAGTGTCTATGAATGAAATATTGGTTTTACAGGAATGATTCCACAAACATGATTGATTTGATATTCGTGTAAAAAAAGCTTACTAGTGGTGAAAAAATATCAGGCTTTGAAATATGATAAGAATAAATGATGGGCTACGAGCCAAAACGTATATTTGCACCTGCAGGGGCTAATATACATTTTCACCAAAAATTACTTTCATGTTAAGGGAAAATATGCCCTCTCCTTTTAAAAGTACGCAAATAAAAAGCAATAGAATTGGTTGCCAAACCTGTCCAGTTGAAACAATGACAGGGTCATTCATAAGCTCCAGAGATATAGGACAGCGGAAATCATCTGGTATTACTGGGGTTGTCTTTCCACTCTCCTCTGTGGATGTCTCTCCTAAACATGAAGACTTCTCAATGGCGGAGGAAGAATTAATGTTGACATTTTCAGTCTGCACAAAGTCTTTAATCTTCTTTAACAGCATTGACATCTTCTCTATGGTCTCTTCTGGATCCCCACCTGTAGAAGTAACCATCTCATGCAAAGCTAGAGATTCTTGTGTAAGATCATTTATTCCGGCTAGTTGTAACTTATCTACCAGTCTCCTCAACAAAGCTGGATCTATAGAAGTCTCACTACTGTTGTAAAGGGATAACAAATCCTCATATATGTCATCATCAAGTGTATCTGCCTTCACTTTGGCCCTTTTGAACTGAGAAAGAACAAGCTCAACCTGGAAGAAGAAAAATCAATGACATATCAGACAAGATGATTGAAAACATGTTATGTGTTAAAACAAAAGGTCCTGGAAATTAAAGGCGTATCTAGGGAATGTTTAAACCTGTTCTTTAACTTCATCTGATAAGTCAAGGTTTTCAAAAGAAATCTCACTCAATGCTTGTTCCAGTTGAGTGGTCACTTCGTGAAAATTATTCAAAATTTGATCCCTTTCTAAAACCTGCAAAAAAAAAGAAGTGGGTTGACATTGAAGGCAAAACTTGATTGGTATTGAAGTTAAGATTATACTTCTGGTTTCACGACTATTATATAATTTCCCGTTTTGATTATTGACTTTCAAATTTCACTTTTGGTGCACTACTATGGATTTCTTTTCTTCTTTGGTCCTTCCAATCACTTAAACAGCCTGTTTTCAGTGTTGATTTTTTCACGAGATAAGTGATCAGGAGGAGCAAAAGTAGCAAAAAGTTCATAATCATGCACCACAATGGAAAAAATAAAAATTGGGTAACAAAAGTAAAAATGACTGAATACTCATGGGACCAAAAGCAATATATGTTCATGCAAGTATCACATAGAATGGCAGAGCTATTAATAAAGCTATAATGGTAATACATAAAATATATGTGTTTGTCCATTCATGTAGCAACTTATTAAATCGTGAAAAGTTGTGAACATATCTAAATTTACTATTGCATGTTACAGATACAAAGTTATGAAGCAAAATGACTCACTAAACTGTCTGCGCTTCTTTGTTATGAAACAACACTCAGTCCATGCAATTTTTGACGCAATTTTCACTATGGATCATTCGGAAACAGTCTATGTACTTTAGTACAGGGGTAAGGCTGCGTACATCCGACCCCCCTTACCCCACTGTAGGTGGGATTCCTTGCGGCACTGGGGTAATGACGATGGATGAATGAATGTTACAGAATACAGATACAAAGTTGATAAATACTCGTATGAAACAATGAATGCTATCAAATGAATACAATGATGAGACGTTCATGAGATGTCCTCAATTGCTCTTAGTTAATCATCTCCACATTATAACAAAATGATTTTACTAAGAAACAAACAAGCACAAATATGGTCAAGGCTGTAAATTCTAAAGATCAATTTGAATGATAAATCAAAGTGGAGAGTAATTTTGGAATCTAAACATGAAGACATTATTTAGGGTTGAATAGATGAGATTGCATTGAATGCATAATGGATAATATTATGGAAATCAACTGCTCCTACTAGTGACTGACAATGATTAAACAGCTACATTTATCCAAAAATAGTGACTTTAGTGGCAATCATTGAAAGGAAAAACATAGTGTATAGTCTAAAATTCCAAGTAAAACAAAATTATTACACAGAATTTCTTTTTCCTAATTTGTAACAATCAAATAAAAGTGGACAGGTCATTTAATATGTTGTAGATGGTCTGAAGCATGTTTAACAACTACTGAAAATGCTGCAGATGAAATACAAGTGAATAGAGCATCTAGCTAAATATGGAATGTATTAGAAATTAGTAATTCTGTCAAGTTATCTAATCAAAACATATACAACAAGGGTAATAGTTCCACTTGAGGATACTATGGAATTTCACATGTAAAGGAGTTGTATCCGCCAAGATCTTAGTGGTAACTTCTTCCATAATTGATAGATACATAAAAGATTTCCAAAAAAGCAGAAGATATTATAAACTTTTAGATTGATAGCTTTTTCATTCAACTCCATATCCTATCCTCCTTAGACTGCCCCATTTTTTCAAATCCCACATATAGCTCTTGTCGTTTCATAATTTCATACCTTAAATTCAAAAGGCAAAATTCCTTCAAGAGTTCAGATTACGTTTTGAAATCCATATTTTGAAAAGGGGAAAGAGGTATAAAAAAACATATACCTATGCTGCAGTTTGCAGTTCACTATAAGCTTCATCAGATAGAAAAGAAAAGATACAGTTTCAAAGATTCAAATTTTATAATGAGTGGAGTAACATCAAGTATTCTATTTCAGACCAAAAACAATTGAAGAAAGACAGAAACTAAAGAAAAGATAAAGATAAAATGAAAAAAAGACACAAATCATACTAAAAACTGTAATTTGGGAAAGGGAACGAACCAGGAAAATTTTGCTGCCCTCCCCACCAAATTTGAGCAAATTCTTAGCTGAGTCCAGAGCAGCCTTCAAGGATACCAGCGCATTCAACGAGGCTTCAGGGACCGCCTCTTTGCTATCGCGAATCTCTTCAAACATCGGAGTAAGAAGCTTCAGCCGCCTGGCCAGAGTGAAATACTGCTTCTTCACCACGGACCTGAAGTCAGAAATGGCCGCTATTTCGTTCACCACTTCAATCAGCTTCCTCGTTATCGCCACTTTCTCCTCCTCCATTGTATGGGAAAGAAAGAAATCTTACCAGAACCCAATAACAACACCCAAAAAATGGTCTTTTTCAGAAAACGAAAATCAAATCTGATAAAGGGGAGCTGACGGTTGAATGGGTTGACCCGACCAGATTGCAGCGCCAGCCGCCGTGGCCGCCATTTCAGACATCGGGATTTTCAAGAAAGTGGCCGGAAAATGGAAGGGATTAAATGAAGAGGCGGTGGAGTGATTTAGGGGGAAGAACAGGGGGGTGGGGTGGGACCGAGGAAGAAGGAGGAAGAGACAGCAATGGGTATTTCAAGTGTAAACGTTTCCAGGGTGGTGAGGATGCCTTAGACGCGTCAGTGCAAGGGCTTGATGCTGACAGCCATGAGCTGAGCTTTTCTATATGCGAGTTTCTTTTCTTTCTTCCTTTTCTTTTACTTCTTTGCCTCCATCTCCATCGTCATCAAAACAGGAAGCAGTTAATGGTTTTCTCATAAATTTGACATCTTGTTTGATAAATGTTTTTTTGCGGATCGAGACATCAGCTCACGTTTGTTTTTTTATTGTTGAATTCCCACACCGAAAACGTGTGAAGGAACTAAATGCTATATTAAGATCCGGGCTACTCCTCCTAACAGGTTGACCTTTTAGGATGGAACCTTTCCCCTCTTCAACCTTCAAAGTTCTCATTTGAATATTTGCTACTACCACCAAGATCTGCACCGATGGTATCGAAAACGTGTTGAATTCCCACACCGAAAACGTGTGAAGGAACTAAATGCTATGTTAAGACCCGGGGTTCCATCCTAAAAGGTCAACCTGTTAGGAGGAGTAGCCCGGATCTTAATATAGCATTTAGTTCCTTCACACGTTTTCGGTGTGGGAATTCAACATTTATAGACAAATAGGTTTATAGTAATAAATAAATTATTGTTAGATGTGAATTATTGTAAGCAATGTTCTTCCAAAGGCACTTTAAAATGTAGAGTGTTTTTTAAAATGATTGTGGAAATAGTTTTGAGATTACATCTATAAAGGCGTTGGAGATTAAAAAACGATATTCTCTATCACATTTTTTGAAGTATTCTGTATCACATTTTTAAAACGCTAGTACTATTATTAGTTAGATCTTTTTTTTTCAAAAAGAACAGTTTTAGTGACTTTTTGGTGAGGTGATTTTCTAGCTTATCAACAAGTTATTTATTAGTTAATTTATTTATTAGTAATTACTCCAAATAGGAGCAAAACTAGGGTAACATGTCAAAATGTGGTATTATTTTTTATGTTTTTATTCCTAATAGGACCAATCTACTTCAATTATGAAACATAGGGAAATTAGCATTTCATTTTTCTCCCTCCAGCTATTTACTGAATATTAATCACTTATTAGATGTAATGTAATTTACTTATTTGCTTCAGTATCTATAGGTATTTTTAGCAATTTTAACATAACCATTATCTCTACCAAAACAAAGTACAAAGATATAAATGAACTCCCACTTAATCCTACGGTATCATTTTGTATTATTCTTATTTGGATGTTTCCATTTTAGTCCCAGACCAGGCAAACATCAGACCATATCAGAGCAGACCAGACCAGACTTGGCTTCCGTAGTTATAAAATTCACAGAGACCAAACGTTTACTAGACCAGACCAGTTTAGACCAGACCAGATCAGACTAGGAAATTTCAATCCAAAAAAACATCCTTGATCCCCATCGCATTTAAATGAAATCTTTCTTCAATCTTGTAAAATCAGAATGTCAATGTTACTAAAAATTATACTCCCTCCGTCCCTCTATTAAGTTCATACTTTGACCTACACACATATTTAGGAAATAAATTTGACTTTACTGTTTAGACACTGTTTGACACTGTTTAGACACTGTTTGGCACTGTTTTGCACTGCTTGACATTGTTTTGATGTAGGATAACTTTCCATTTAGGGAAATGAGAAGATAATTTTAGGACGGCTTAAAAAGGAAAGTATGAAGTTAATAGCGGGACGGAGGGAGTACAACACAACAATATGTCCATTGTTTACTAAAAAGCAAGAGATTTTTCAGTGGGGACAGACATTTTATGTGGTATATCAAGGGTAACATTCAAGAAATAAAGAGTAAATATAAATAATTCTTAACTTTTACTTCGTATTAATACTCTTCTACTTTTACTTATTTCCATTAGGCGTGGACAAACGGGTACAGGAATCACGGGTCGGACCGGGTAATACAGGTTCGGGGCGGGTTAGGATCAGGTCCTAATTTTAGAAAGCTCAAACGGTTCGGGGCAGGTCTTAATAACTTAAGAATCGAACGGGTCTTAAAATTTGAAAAAACGGGTACCCGGACCGATCCGTTTTATAATGTTATTAAAAAAACCTATTACATTTAATAAAATATACTAATTAATAAGAGAAACTTTTTCATGTTCTTGTGTTTAGACAAAGACACAATTAAAGAGACTTGACAATCTATTAAAAAGAGTTTCAAAGTTCATAAAAAATCCTACTCGGGTAAATTATTTTCCCCGATTCTCTATTCCAAACGCATCAAACTTTAATTAATATTTTTTGTAAACGAATACTCTTACTCAATGATATCATTTTAGTTTAGTTTAGTTTCTTCTGACTTTATAGTGATATCATATTAGTTTAGTTTCTTCTGACTTTATAGTAATATCATATTACTTTATGACATATGATGTCTAAATTTCTACATTTTAAATTTTGGTGTTATTCAATTTGGGTGGTTTTGTGTTGTTTAATTTATAGATTTGTTAACAAATTTAAAATGTTATTTTGTATTCTTTATTTTGAATTTGCACTATATTATGGTGACATTGATACTTAATTAGTCGGAGAATGTTATAACTAGTGATACTTTGCTAGCATAGCAGTGTTTTTTTTTTTACAAAAAAAAAAAAAAGAATCGAGAACTCAGACCGAACTGGCCCGTTTCAAACGAGGCGGGTAAGGTCCGGTTCCTATTTCAACACTTCGAATACCCGGACCGAACCTACCCGTTAAGTGGAACTGGCGATTCTGAAAATTTATCAATTACTCGGACCGACCCGGACCGTGCATACCCCTAATTTCCATGTATTGAGTTCCCAAAAGGGATTAATATAATGTAAAATAATACTCCCTCCGTAACTTTAAAATTTTCTCATTTCAAAAGTAGGTAGATTAAAGCAGTGTTTGCATTTGCTTTTTTTAAGCACTTTGAACCTTTTAGCTTTGGAAAAGCTAAAAATGATGTTTGCTAACTCCTGATTCTGCTTTTTTTAAGTGATTTTAAGCCAAAATCTAAAAGCTACCCAAATGATGCTTTTAAGTGCTTTTAGGTAATGGTGTAAATAATTCCAACTTTAGGGATAGTATCATACCCACTTAAACCCAAAATACCCTTCATCTCTCCCACACCAATCTAACCTCCGAGCTCACCCCTACCCTACGCTCTGCACTTCTTCTACACTTCTTTCTTCCCCTTTCACCCCACGCACATACACATAAATATTAGGCTAAAGTGTCAAATATGTACATGAACTAACTTAAAGTGTTCAATTAGCCCCTTATATAGGAGGTTCTGCCCGGCTATCGCCAATTGGGGCGGTTCTCAGTTGAATTTTTTGATGACATTTTTTGAGCATCTTCTTCATCAAGTCTAGTTTACCCATATCAAAATTCAGCTAAAAATTAAATCGGGAAAGAAGTCAATTAATTTTCCGAAATGTACTGCGCTGTTTAACTGCGCAGTTATCTTCAAAAAATCATTTGACTGCCTTCCCGGTTGAATTTGTAGCTGAAATTTGGTATGGGTAAACTAGACTTAATGAAGAAGTTGCTAAAAAAAATTCATCAAAAAATTCCACCGGGAACCGCGCCAATTGGCGACGGCCGGGCAGAACCTCCTATATAAGGGACTAATTGAACACTTTGAGTTAGTTCATGTATCTATTTGACCCTTTAGCCTAAATATTACTCCGTATATATTCCAGAGGAAATCTAGATCCATGGGATTTTGTTCAAGCATGCCTTAATCGCTGATTTTCTGATCGCAAGGCCTCCAAATCCCCTTCCACTCTGTTTGATTTCAGTGATGGTGAAGACGGCGCCTCCTTGCGGCCATTGCGGTGATAGTGGTGACATCACTCAACGGCGGTCCATGCCACGTCGGCGACCTCCAACACCGTCTTCGCTACTTCAATCGGATGATGAACTTCCATGCTTCTCTCTACAGAAGCTTCTCTAAATAAAATAAATAATGGTAGATTTTCAGAGATAACAAACCCTGGGTCTGTATAACATAACCAGCATTGTCGTTACAGGGAAGACTCGAAACTCCGAAGACTAATTAAAGGAAAAGGGCAGTTTTGTACTTTACAAAAAAACTACATCAAAAATCACCTTTTTTTATCAAACACTCCAACTTTTACATTTTAACTAAAATCACTTATGTTCCCAAACAGTACCCACTTTTACTACAAACCACTTGTCCAATAATCTCTTAAAAAATCACTTCTAAAAAGCACAAGCAATCGCAAACACTCCCTAAGAATAGTGAAAGAGAATATAAATTATTGAGGATATGATGGGAAAATAGTGGAATAATATGATGGAATGTAGGATAAATCCAAAAAAAAGTAGTTGTAATAGTGTATTATTTTAAGAATTATTAAGGGTATGATGAGAAGATTTAGAAATGGGAATTTTTTTTGTTACAGACGAAAAAGGAAAGTGGGAAGATTTTTTTGTTATGGGGGGAGTATAGACAGTGAATAGTACATAAAAGTTAAAAAGAAAGTGGTAGTAGTGAAACCTATAGAATGGGAGGCGCTAGTGAAGACATGAAAGAGTAAATGAAAAACACAAAAATGAGAAAATATGAGAAAAAATACAAAAAAAAATGTTATGAAAAAAGATAAAAAAAGGAATTAAATGTATGGTAAAATACTCGAAAAAATACTCCATAATAAATAAAGAAGAAATGATAAAAATAATTTCACCTTTCACTCATTTTCTCAAAATAATATACGGAGCATCAATCTAAACTTAACCATAAGTTAATACCTAGTATCACTTTTGCATCTTGTCTTTTTTCGTGATTTATGATTGATATATGACCAGTTATGACCTTTCACAAATCCTTTCACAACAGCTCCATGCATGAATTTAAAATAGTGACCTCAATGGCGGATGTGTCCACAATGTTGTAGTTGTGTGCGGCACAACAACTGCATCGCGCCGTAATGACGATGTGATTTGCAATATGCATCGCAATGTTGAAAAAACCTGAACCCCGGACCTCTTCTAAGATCACAAGCTCAAAGGACTCTTGTACATTCACACACGCACTCGTAACACAAAGACTCAATCTAACAATATCACTTTGTAATATGCAATTGACATGCACAAGAGATACTTTACAAGTAAACGGGTAGTTCACATCACTCTTTGTATATTAGACTACTTCACTCTCACACCCCTCTCTCAAAGAGGCACTCACTCAAGAGCTCTCCTCAAGGCTCTATCTCTCTCTCATCATTTGAGGAGACTCTCAA